AAAGCTGGGGACTGAATCGAGTCCCAGGCCAGAGCCTTAACCACAGACCTTACACATAGCTCCCTCTTTCTGCCAAAGAGACCCTGACATGTTCTTACAAATAGTTCTTTCCAGGAGATGGTTGGCAAGCCCATTCTTCCTTGGATGTCTTTGGAGGAGGGGAGTGATAAGAATAAAACAGGCCTATTTCTCATTTTGGATCTCTGTGAAGCATCTATATCCATTCTTCTCCAGAGGAAGAGGGTATGTCTCCATTTGCTCCCCTTGAGCATCCAGGAGGCCAATGCCTTCTTCCTATTCCTAGGTGGGTTTGACACAGGGAAGGTTCATGGTGGCTTTGTTCAGGACATGGCAGCTGAGCAGGTCTGACAAGCTTAGATCACTGCTCCTGCTCCACTATGCAATGAAATGTGGAATCTGCTGCAGAATCTAAGTGTTCTTTTAACATAAAATAAGTTCATAACCCCTATAGCTGCAAACAATAGTCATTATCCACAATATGGGACAAAGTGACAGATGTCACCAATTGGGCTATGGGGCAGCTGTCAAGAGTTGTACAGGTGGAAAACTTGGGGGAGTTAAGTTCAACAGAAGCATTAAGTCACATCCACCAGTGCCCTGAAGGGGACAGGTAAAGAAGAGAAGCACCCTCCTCCCTAGTGCCAAAAAGCTTCAGTATCCTCCATGGTGCCCAAAACCTACACTAACTTCTGTCCCTTCCTGGATGCCCAAAGCAGCTGGTGAAAACTGGTGCAATGCTTTTATGTGTTGTCCAGACAAAAATATGTGGCAAACTGAAAATTTAGGAGCAGCATAACATTAAAAACATTCCAAAACTGAGATTTGTATTGAGTTTAATATTCAAATACAAGTAGGGTGACCCAAAGAACATTAGACTGATCATGCCTAATTCAATAAAACCTCTATTCACTTGAAGCTGCAGCAAGAAGTGTCCAAGTGGCACTGAATTCAGCCTTTCTGACCTGCATCAACCAGGGTGTCTTGCCCCATATTCAGAGGACCCTACTAATGGAATTCATGCTCTAAATGGGCCTTGTTTCTGATGTGCATGTCGTAGCCTTACAGTTGCTGTTTGTCCTGCAGAGCAATTTTATATTTTTACTCACCTGTGTTCAACACACAGCTGCCGCCGTTTGATTCAGGGTTTTGACGAAATCATATCAGCACATGAAATGTAACAGTCTCGATGGGTTTTTATTTTGCAGTTTAATTAAAAACTTATGGAAACGAGGGTTAATAACAAACTCGGATAATTATACACTCCCTCCCGCCACTTTCATTTCCTGCCCTGATGTGTTGGGTGCTGCTGTGTGATGGTGAACAGCAATCGCGTTTCACCTCAGAAGTGGCTGCATTTCATAAGGAGATGAAGTGAGTCCTGTATAAAGTTCATGTTAATTTAAGTTTGCAAAGTGATTTAGAAATCTTTGAGAATTTACTTCTGTTATTAAAGTTTGGCTTGTGCTTTACTGCTTTTGCTGAATTGGGGCTTTAGTCCTGATTTGCAACACCTTTGTTGTTACAGTCCCAGGGTTCTCTCTAACAAAGATTGTCAGATTCAGCTGAACTACACAAAGCTACTTGGTTATTTTGCAATGTGAACATAGGAATAGGGTGAAACCACCAAACACATTTATATTTGTAAACTCATCTGCCTGTGGACTCACCCAGGTTTTCATTTCTTAGCCCATTTTCTGCCCTGTCTAGAACACAGCAGGGTTTTAAAATTGTTCTTGTAATATTATTGCCTGCAGTCCGACCCTTGCCAGATCTCATGAACTAGTCATAGGCAGGCTGTGTTCATATTTGGACGAGCAATCTTGGGGAGAACACTCAGGTGCTGCAGGAAGTGGTGCTGATTAAATAGTTTGCAATCTTCCCTCAGAGATGGCACAGAGCCAATGCCCCAGCATGATTTCAAGGGACAGAGTATTGCAGGAGCTGCCATCTTTTAGACGATGTGTCATGCCTCTGTCTTTACAAGCCGTGATTATTACGGAGCCCAAGGCATTTATCAGGAGAGTAAGGGTTTTACCTACTGTGTCCTGGATAATTTCTAAACTGAGTAATTATATTCCTTCCACCCAATTCCCCTTGAAGTTCCAGCTGGATACTGTATTTGCCACCTCCTGTCCTAAACCATTGGGTTGAGTTGTGCACTGTTAGACAGTTGTAGTATTTCAACTATATGGACAGGAAGGATGACCCAGAGGTCAGGGCTCTAGCCTGGGATGTAGAAGATCCGGGTTCAATTCCTTGCTTCACCCTGACTTCCTCTGTTAGCCTGGGCAAGTAACGTGGGGCCAGATTTTTACATTTATTTAGTTGCCGAAAGATGCAGCTAGACACCTAGTGGGATTTTCAAAAATGCCTGGGTGCTTAACTCCCATTGATTTCAATGGGGAAAGGCTCCAATAGTTAGGAGCTGCAAGAACCTTTCCCCACTGCAGGGAAAGGCTCTGGCAGCGGGTGGTCGCAGGGAATGGCTCCGGCAGCAGGGAGCGCCTATTTACAAGAGTCTTTTCCCACTACCACCCCCCTGCCAGAGACTTTCACTGCCACATGTAGCTACACACCACTTTTCACTGCTGCATGTAGCTAAATGTACTCTACATGCCACCATCAGTGTAGACAAGGCCTACGGTTGCCAGAAACATTTTCATCCAGTCAGTGAGAAAGTCTGGATGAGCATCTGGATGAAAAGTGTGATAGATATGCAAGATTATCATCAGTATAAAGGTTTTCTGCCAGTATTTCTGTCCAATAGGAATTAAGATGAATTATCAATAAATACGGACAAAAGCTATGAAATGAAAAATAAAACTGTATTATTATAATCTCAGCTCTTGATTTTCCCTATTTATCTTTCTGGTCCTGTTCACCTCCTAATCCATTTTGTTTAGTAAAAATGGTGAATAAATGTCTGGGGCTTGATTACTGAGAAAGGCTATTACTGTATTGGCTCTGAGTGCTCTTTAGGGAGTTAAAATGGTTCCTCACAAAGTATGAAGGTTTCTTTCAAATTTGCAGGCATCTGCCTTTATAAAGTTTGTTTCACTTGCCAACATTTCAATTATTTATGAAAAAGTTAAAGTATCTTATTCTTGCTCCTCCACAGTGGATGGCATTTTCTTTAAAACAATGTCATTGTCTTGAGCACAATAAATAAAGAGTTGTATTAGAAGACTCAGTTTTTAAAATATATATATAGTGGCATCTGGCCTCATTTAAACCATCAAATTTACATTCAATTCCTTCGGGGATGATTTCATTGCTTAATGCTGGCTTGGTGCCCTTTGAATAAAGCCCAGGATTTAATGCATGCCACCACGTTTCACTAGCTGTATTGCTGTTCAGTACAGATGTACAGTAGGGGTATAAAAAAGCCTAAACCTTGGACTCCAAAACAAGAAGATTCACTTATGCAACTGTAATAGAATAGGCTTCAGCTAGGGGGTAGACCCATGACATATGTCATTCTCTATTTATTCTTTATTTGTAGAAGTGTTTATGAAACATTCTGTGTGAGCTAGACAGGAAGTTATAAAATATTTTATGAGATCTGCACATGACTGATGGCAGAATGTCAATACAACAGTAAGGTCCTATTTAAATTCAAAGAGTGCTGGAAAATAATTGTTTGCAGAGTGATCGTCGTTTGATCAGTGGTACTGAATTTGAAAGGCATTACTTGTGTCCAATCCTGCAAAGTGCTAAGCATCTCCTGAGAAGTTCGGCGCATCATCCATCAGCTCACACTGACTTCAGTGGGAGCTACAGAAAGAAGAGTGACAAGTGACAATTCATACTGTATGTGGAGACCAGATGATCTCTAATTAGAAATGCACTTTGCATTTAAATAGCTTTTTCCAGCTAAAGATTTCAAACTGATTTACAAATATGTTCATAACTTTTCCTGTTTTACAGGTAGGTAGACTGAGATACGGAAAGATTAGGTGACTCAGGCAAACTGCAAGTCAGAAACAGAGCTATGAGTAAACCCATTGTTTCCTTACTCTCAGCCCTGTTCTCTACTCATTAGATACACTGGGTATAATCCTGGCCCCAGAAAGTCAATGGCAAAACTCCCATAGACAGGCTTTCACCCACTGTCTCCCCCTCGTTCAGGTAATTTATACCATGACAAGTGACCTACAAATACTGATTCTAATATTAAAAAATCTGTAATGAGAATCAACATTATTTACCAATTAAAAGGACGTAAAACAAAGCTGTTAATATATGGCATTTAAGTTGATCCTACGTTAGTAATTTTCGTAAGTGATTCAAAATCATACCATAAGTTACCTTCTTAATTTTTGTTTTAATGCTCATCTTTTTTCCAGGCTGCATATATTCGGGTGCTGTTACAGAAAACTGCATCAGTGACACTCACTCACGTTGCCCTCATTTATGTTAGGGAAGGAATCAGAGAAAGGACTGTGTAGCGACAAGAAAAAAAAAAATGAATATTCCCCAATTATGTGACTATCTAGCCTAGTCCAAGATAGGGAGACATAACCTACCTTGTTTTATTCTAAATTCAGCTCGCTGGCTTCTGGAGAGAAGTGAAAGGTTATTATATGGGTTTACTGGGAAAACCCAGATTTTATAAATAATTGCCTGTCAAACTGTTCAAGATAGACAAACATACAGCAGACCAACAAAAACATGATCTGTCATATTTCTGAGAGAAATGTATGTTGAGTCTTCATTCTCTGGGACTTTATGTAGACCAGTAAAAACTAAGCGCCAGTATTTTTCCTTCTTATGCATATTTTAAAATGTAAAATGTGGGAGAGAGACAGCTAAGGAAGGAATTTGGATTCCAGAACCCAGCGCCTGAAATGGTTTCTTCTGTCTATATGCCTGAAGATCGAAACCAAATACAATAAATGCTGGTGTCCTTTTAAAAAGTCTGGATGTTTACAGCAAGCATATAATTTTCCATGATTAGGGACGCCAAGAAAAATAAGAACGATGATAAAAAGAAAAGTTTAATCATACATTTCAACAAGCACAGATGGAACATCAGAAAACTTTTTTCTTTTTTAATATACTGTATTGTACACATTATTTTTAGTCCTTTACATACAGATTAATTCCAGAAGGACTGGCATGCAGCAGGTAAAAAAGGAGGCAGTTTATGGATAGCAGGAATATTGGATGCACTGTGATTACATTTACAATGCTTCACAATTTTTTGATCACAAGGAAGAGACACGTGTTTTTAGTTTAATTTTTTTTCACGAGTGGGTCCAGGTTCTGCCCAATGAAACCATTTATAAAGTATAAGACTGTATCAGAAGAGTGGCAGGAGCTGAAACCTCACATACTAAGCACAAAGGAGGAGACTGATTACACTATATAGAAGTAATGCAGACAGTTGATCTCCTAGGTCTCCTGAGCGTTCTGTCTTTCTTAAAGGTTTACTTTAGTCTTTAAGGCCCTGACTCTGCTTTGGGATACACTAGCACTGACTTCTGTCCCAATGGGATGCCATAGGGGCACAGCTGCAGATTCTGACGCAGAATCTCGGCCTAAGCCTTTTGGTCTCCTCAAGCATGACCTTGGTTACTTCTAGATGTGTATACTTTCCATGGGAAGAAATGAATGGGCTTGTGAGGATATCAAAGACTGGAAGCACAGAGAAGGGAAAAGGGGTAAAGGGAGAGCCAGAGTTTGAAGAAACAAAACAAAACCCCAAAACAAACAAAAAGAAAAAAACAAAGCGGAGCAACAGAAATTAAAAATAAATAAGGGCCTGGATTTTCTCCCATTAACATCAACAGGATCAGGTCCACACAGCAGAGCACTTAAGCAGGGCTGTACCTTTAAGTACTTGAGTAGTCCCATTGAAGTCAACAGAACAATATGCTTGAAGTTACACACATTTAAGTACCTTGTGAACTGGGGCCAAAAGGCCAGATCCAATGATCAAATAAAGTCAATAGAAAGACTCCCACTGACTTCAGGGGAGAGAAGAGGATAAGAAAAAAGATTTCAATATTAAGAATTTACAGATTTCAGTATAGATGCTTCTTGGGACTCTAAAAATATTAATATTTAACTGAAACAAGAAGACCTGAAGTCATTTACCTGAAGTTTTCCTATCTGAAAAGCCTTCTTATCTGAACATAGCTCATCTCCCCTCCTATGCATCATCCTCACTGAAAAATCCCTTGTTTGGCTAGACAGGGTATTATTCTTTTAGCATTTTTTAAGAAATTGATTTGAGAGGAATTAAATGCAAAACAATGCAGTTTTACTTTTGAAAAAACAAGGAAAGCATAAATAATCATCCAAATCCTTGGCCTCTTTTTGCCTCAAACCTGCTTTACAAAACAACACATCTATTAAAACATACAGACAAAAATAAAAAATGACACTGCACTTTAGATATGGGGGCTGACAGCAGTAAGCCCATTGCAAATTTCAAAATTGTGTGATCTGCATTCTTGTCCACCTACACAGTATCCCAAACATCCTGCCATTAATTAGCTTAACATTCCAGCTAGTAAACAAGAATAACGATTGAGGGGGCTGGAAAAAGAGACGGAGTCAGCCAGTAGATAGTCACAACAAACCAGCCCACTCACTGGTACACAGACACATTAGAGCTTGTATTTTTTTTCTTCCATGGAGGGGAAAAGAAAATCACCTTAATATAACACTGTCTTTCCTGTCACTGCAGCCACATCCATATTAGCAGGCTAGAAAAGTCATCCCATTTCTGCAGTAGGCACTCTGTCAAAGAAAGAGAAAATCTGTAATGAATTATCACATCAACACAAACAAGGGAAGGAGGCAGAGCAAGGCAAGGCTTTCTTCCTGTTTTGTAGACTATTCTGGCTGCAATCTAATAGTGTGCTTAATCTGAACATTTCTGGTCGGGAAGCAATGAGCAACCACTCTGTCTATTAAAAAATCAATGTGGTTAACAAGTGGTTAGTGATTCTATTTCAAGAGAGCAACAGATATGCAAAAAGATGACATTATTTTGTTAATTGCCTACAAAATATGTGGGGACAAAAAATATACTATTATGCTGAATCTGCTTGTCCTTTATAACCATGTGTTCTCTATTCACATCGCTCAAGAATCACTTCTAACCTAAAAATCTTAATAGTCTATAAATTACTGACTCATTACAGCTTTTCCAGATTTAATTTATAGTCTGGACCAAAAGCTATATAAACAGGCACTAGTATATCCTCCCAAAACCAAATTAAACTTAAAGGAGTTCTGTGCAGTACAGAAAACTTTGATCTCCCATGAAGTGTAGCCTAGGATCAAGTCTTTCCACTGATAAAGAAATGGGAGGGTTAAACAGTAGTTGAGAAAGAGAATTTTAATAGGATACAGTGCTATATCTTACTAATATATCCTCCATATACTTTAAACATCTCCTCCTGAATTAATGCAGGAAGTTGTGCCTCCTTTACACAAAAACTGGACACCACAGTTTTAAGGGGATATTGTCAAGTTAAAATGCATATTGTTGAAAAATATTTATTTGTGATACTAATAACATCTTCAAATGAAAGAATTTTAAATGACTTTCCCCACGTATACTGTCGGTTTACTTTCTGTTTGTCACTCAGCTTGAAAAATGAAAACAGATTAGTCTGTTTCTCTCTGCTTATACTCTAGTTCTTAGTCAGGTTCACTTTCTGCCTCTTATGTAGAGCCACATAGGAACTGTCATGTATGATCAGCCCATCTAGTGCAACATCCGAACTCTGGCAATGGTTATTATCAGCTGCCTCACAAGAAAGGCTAAAATGACATAGCGGATAATTATGCATAACAAGCATAACGCTCCAATGTGTGTGAGGAGTATGAGCAGACACTGTTGAAGAATATATTTATCTCCATACAGAACTTTTTTCTCCACTGAAGTTTTTTAAAAATGGTAGAAACATTTTTATTTTTCTTAGTTTGGAAAACTTGGGACAGATTCTAATCTCAGTTCACAAAACCTAAATATGGGGCCTATCATTGTAAATAGATGTCTCTTTAGTTGTACCTATCCATTACCACCTTTGTGTTTCTCTGGGTGTTTATATATAAACTCTGAATTTATTTCCTAACTAATATGAGCGTAATCAATTTTCCCTCTTTGGAACTGGATATTGAATAATGGTGTTAAATGAGCACAGGGGTTAGTCTCAAGTAACTTTTTGATGTAAATTATATGTATATTGAATTTTAAGTGAACAGACTTAAAAACACCAATCAATTTCTATAAAAAGACGTTTTCAGACAACTGAATACGCAAAAAGAAAACATACCAGCTATTTACCATAGCACCCTCTATCATACAAGTCGTACTACAATATATAGATTGAACAGTATTAAAATAAAAGAGAAGAACATTAGTCAAGAGGATACACAGCCAGGCATCTGACAAGACAATACCACCACAAAACAAAAGACTATCAAAAACCCAATACCCAAACATGAACTATACAAAAATAGGCCAGACAATAACTTTAATAAAAGGATACAATATATTCCCACAACCACAAGCATAAACTCCCAGGGAGTTTGGATCTACAGCTTGCCCAAACCATTATGGCTGGCATTTTGAAGTCCATGCAAAAATAATGCTTTAGCTCCTCCACCTCAGTATTTTACAGAGTTTATAACCACAGTGACAACCTTTAACACATAAATATAATATTTAGGGCTACTGTGGAGTTTACATTGACATAAATGAACCTGAGACTAATGTTGGATTCACATTAAAGATAAATGGTTATATTCTGTCCTGTTGGGGAAAGGATTTTTGGCTGAAAGGCAGACTCAGGCTTGGCTTCGATCACCTGGGAAATAATCAAGCTTAAAGTTTTCCAACATCGGCAACATTATATGGTTCCCTATACCCCTGAAGAGGTCATTTTAGCAGCAAGTTTCAGAGCAGGGAGGACATCATCTTCACAAAGCAGGACACTCCACTAGATTATAGTTAGCAATATATTATAGTTAGTGTCTGCTAGAGCTAGAGCTGCAAATAAGTTTCCTACTTAACTCCGTTTTCACTCATGCCTCCTTAGGCTGAAATTTTCCATTCTTTAATCTCTGCCTGAAGCTGAAGTTTTTCGGAAAGTCTGAACAAAATTCCTTCAGCTGTTTTGGAGTTCAGAGAGAGTGAAAACAAAACACTTCTCCCTTCCAGTGCCTGCCAAAGTGATTTTCATCTATGCACATTTTATTGAATAACTTATTTATAAAGGAGTGACACTCATCTGCAGTGGTCTCACAGTAATTTACCTAAACATGGGCTGTACCTCAACCTCATTCTAAAGGGAATGTTTTCGGAATGGGTCCTTTATAGCAGCAGGGAGCTTAAATCACCCGGTTCCAGAGGAAAAGAGCACTTCTACCTAGTTCTGATATATCATCAGATCTAAACACTGTTATGCATAGGAAAGCTATTTTACAGGTATGAAATATTCTGACTAATACATTTTAATCTCTAAGGTCTATGACAGTTGGATTCACAGTATTGAAAGCCATGGCTCTCCAGGCCAAGATAGGTGAAAAACAATGTCAACAGGTGTTTTCCAATTCTTTATTACAATTCTAAAAACATTTTCTTTTTTTTAAACAGGAGACCAACTATGGTGTGGCATAAAATAAAGGGTTTGGCCAGATTCTTATGTACACCAAGGCTACCTTATATCACTCTGGCAGCATACAGCGGTCTTGGTGTAAACGAAGATCTTTTTCTTCACTTGTTTGAGATGACTTGTAGAGCCAGTCCCTGGCTTCCTACTTCTAAGTAACATGGCAAACCCAAACTCATGCCAATGAAACCTTTATACCACACTATAACCTCATGTATCCTCCCTATGTGTATCTTTCTTTCTTTTAAAAGAGTCACATCATCAATCTATCAGGAACAGTTACAACCCTTAACTTATTTAAGCAGATTTACACTTGTTGATAATAAAAATGTCCTTCTCTAGAACTCCTACTGTTACTCCATAAATGTAAGTCATCTAGCAAATTGAGTTTTTATAAACAGTATGAAATCACTGGCGTTAACTTTATGTATTGTCAGGAGGAGAAAGAAAAGATCACTGCTGTGCTCTCTCTCAGTCATGTGCAGCAACTCCATTCCTTTCCCTTTGTTTGGATGAGAGGGGGCAGAACTGTTTGTCTAGCTAGAAAATGGAAGCTGCACACAATTCTGATGCAGATTTAGAAACCAAGCCCGAGAAACAGGTATTCACCAAATGACTTCTTGAATGCTACAAAAAGGGCCTCTAGTCTTTTTGCCCTATGCATGTTTTTCTTATTCACATTAGCGAGAGATGTGCAAAGAAACAAAGGGAAGAACACCACTCACATCCCATAATAATGGCCCAGGGTCATTCAGAATGGAACACAACTTACCGTACATCCAATGGCCATCGCAATGTCACTTTATTGAATGGGCATCACTGGGTTTTTCAACACAGACATACTGAAGCAGTGAGTCACAGAGGAGAGCCTGAACCAAACCCAAGAATTTGAATACTCCTGAATTTGTAAGAACTTCAGATCAGAATCCTAACACTGCTGGACAGACCCAGCTCTAGTTAACTTCTATTATTGCATGAATTATTTCACTGCTGTAACATGATGCGAGAGAGACATACTGGGCTGAGAAAGAAACAGATGTGCCATGATTTTTGAATTGGTTGGCTTGGGTTAAATCTTTCACTGGGTAAAAACTGAAACATTTATGAGTAGCACACCCCCAGTGTACATCCCAAGTGCTAAAGTATACTGGGCCAAATTCTCGACTGGTGTAACGCTGCAGTTCCATTCACTTCAGTGGAGATGCACCAATTTATACCTGCAGAGAACCTGGTGCATTGTGTCACTGAAAAATTGTATATCTCTGAATTAAGGGCCCTTTCTATCCAAGTTGGGCAATAGCTTTTTCAAAACTAGAAGGCTTGCTTTCTTGTTGTCCTTGTGTATGTGTGGGGGCAACTGATTTGATTACAAAGCATAAAGCGAATGGCAGACAGACACCAAAATCAAAGCGAAAGCCTGGGCTGAACTTCATTAGCAAGCATAAATACAAATAGGCTCCATATCTTGTTTGTGACATACCATGGGCCTTTCGTCCTTTTAATAATTTTGCTCTAACCTCTGATATTTGCATACATGTAAATTAAGCCACATGAGGTTAATTTGTCTCTGATATGGGATTTGTGTGGAAAACTTTTTCATTAAATATTTCTCCTGCTGCAGTTTTACTGTGAAAAACAGGGAGGATTATAGCTCAGACAGTGGAAGCCTCTATTTGAGAACAGTGGAGGGAGCCCTGTCCTCTAAGTAAGAGACATTCTTGGATCAGATACTGGCTGGCAGGATGGAAAAAAGGATGTATCATTAACTTTCATTCCATTCCAAATAACCTGGAACCCATAAAACACAAAGATACCCTAATTTTAAATATGCTCTTTCCCCCCATTTCTTCTTTCCATTTTATTTGTGGAATGCTAACTTTGAAACTTCATAAGTCCCCAAATATCAAACAAGTCATTTTGGACAGATTCATAACTCTTTGAACATAGAAATGTCTACATTAAAAAAACCAGTGATTAAAAGGTTACTCTTCTAATTTCTCCAGCCTGCTTCATCAAACCACATACAAAGAAGTGTCAGGTTATTTAGAGATTATAATAAAAATTAACTTAAGGGGCTAAGTATAAACAGCATTGTAGAGAAAAGAAAATCCATGT